CTAGCCCAGCTCTGTCAAAACCCTCAGTTACCATGTGTTCATCCATCTTAAAGGTAAGATGGGGAACAGTTGACTAGGATCCCACGGCATGGTTTTGATTTCTGCCCAACGTCTTCACTTCACCTACCACTTCTGTTTTGATGGCGGCCCACGTTCCTGGAAGTCCTTGCCAACATGGTTGTTTTCCATTGGGATGTCCCACCATCCAGCCACCGTGGCGTTATTTACCAAAGAACAGGAATCATATCCATTGGAATCCTTAAAAAGCATCAACTGTGGGAAGGGCACGCTATCTTCTGGATAGACTCCTCTACCCTGGGAGAGTTCTACTTCCTAAATAGTCACATCACCCAGATCAAAGAAGACCTAACCTTACAAGGTTACCTATGTATCACACGTGAGGTATCATTCTGACATTTTAACAGCACTTTTATATAATGTTCTCCAAAATAATAACCCAAGAAACTCGTAAACACAGCACGAAGGAACGAAGATGTAAAAAGGGAAAACTTACTGACAACATGATAACATTAATCCAGCTGCATGCATCTCCAAACCATCTCAGAGAACTGCTCCGTGCACTCCTCTCCTAATGGGGCATTCTAGGTAAATGACAATCCTTTGGCAGGCTGCCGATGTCACAGATAGAGTGCCAGACTTGGAGTTAAGAAGTTCTGTGTGGGGGCAAGTGAATTAACCTCTCAACCTTAACTATAACTATAGCACCTATATCCCTGGGTTGTTGTGGAGATCAAAGGAAATATTATGTGCAGAGCACTTTGCAAACTTGAAAGCCTTATGTAAATATTACCTATGTTCGTCATCGTTGTTGTTGTTCTAAGGTGAATGCATTCTAGAATCTAAAGTAGTTAGCTCTTTTAATCTTACAAGGTATGACTCTGTCAATCAAGGTATGGCATACCTTGTCATACAAAGTATTACTCTGGTAATTATTGTCCAGAACACAGATCAACTATATGATAAATAATGGCTACAAATTTATCAAAGGCAATATATGTCAAAAAGTTTAATTGCTCAGTTTTAAAGGTCGCTACACGATTCCAGCTACTTTTACCAAATCCACAAAACCTAAATCATGGGGGCAGCTAAGTGGTGCAGTGGATAGAGCACCAGCCCTTAAGTCAGGAGGACCTGAGTTCAAATCCGGCCTCAGACCAAACACTTGACACTTTCTAGCTGTGTGACCCTGGGCAAGTCACTTAATCCCCAACTGCCAATGCAAAAAAAAAAAAAAAACTAAACTAAATCATGAAAAAAAATAGAAGAAAATGTGAAGTGACCCCTAGAAAAAACAATTAACCTAGAAAACAGGTCAAGGAGAGGTAATCTAAGAATCACTGGACTTCCTAAGAAGAAGAAAAAAAAAGCTTGGATATCATATTTCAAGAGATGGCAAATTAAAACTGTCCAGACCTATAGAATCAGACAGCAGAGTAAAATAGACACAATCAACCAGTTATCTCCAGAAAGAAGACCTAAAATGAAAACTGCCCAGAACATTATGGTCAAAATCCAGAGCTTCCACGTTAAAGAAAACAATGCTACAAGTAGACAGAAAGAAAGAATACAAGTGCCAAGGAACCACAGTCAGGATCACATAAGACTTGAGGGCAACCACTTGAAGGAAAAGGAAAGCTTGGAATATAGGTTTCTAAAAGGCAAAAGACAAAAAATTACAACCAAGAATAACTTACCTGCAAAACTAAGTATAATCTTACAGGTGAAAATGTGATTTTAATACAATAAAGGACTTCCAAGCATTCCTAAAGAAAATATTAGAAATCAACAGAATCTTTGAAATGCAAACACAAGAGTCAAGAAAATCTAAAAAGATAAGTACATTAGAGCAATAGGAAGGGATTATCCAATGAAGATATGTTTATAGTCTAATGGGGGAAAAGAAGCAAGTGTCCCTTCAGAACCTGAATGTCATCAAGGCTCACAGAGGGCGTTAAATCAGAAAAAAGAGAGGGCCTGGGGGTGGTTTCCTTCTACTTAGACGATCATAGGTGAAGAAAGAAAAGGGAGGGGAAAAGGCATACACTAAGGAAGAAAGCGACAAAACTAACTGAACATGCACTTCTGGATAGCAGGACCATGTCACTCTTACATCTCTATCCCCAGCAGCTAGCATATAGTAGTCGATTAATAAATGTTTTCCCATTCATTCATTCAAAGTAATTTTCCTCATGCACCCATCTGAGCACATGACTCCCCTACTCAACCAATTCCAGTGTCTTCTTATTGACTCTGGGACAAAATATAAACTCTTCTGGTTAACTTTTAAAGCCCTACATGACCTGGTCCTAAGCCACTTTAAGAGCCCCGTTGACCTTCATTGACTCTCTTGCATGCTAAGAAGCAGCCAATCTGACCTTCTCTCTATTCTTCACTCACAATCCTCTAGCTCCTATCCCTGGGCCTTTGTACTGGCCATCCCCCCATGCCTAGAATGTACTCCTACATCCCTGCATCTCATAGAGTCCCTCTCTTCCTTAAAAATATAGCTCAGGCAACATCTTCTGCATGAAGCCTTTGCTGATGCCTCAGCTGCTTCCACTGACCGCTGTCCCAAACTACCTGGAATTTAACTACTTTGTATGTGTACGGACATGTGTGCAAACATATATAGAAAGATATGTATGTATTTATAAATGCTTTATATTGTATTGAGGGAATTCAGGGGATCAGACAGCAAATGGTTAACTGTGGGGAGTGAGTAAACCACACTGACTCCATCTTGTGACGTGATTCTGGAGCCTGGTAAGTTCTTTTCTATTCAATTATGGGTCTATTTCAGTTTCTGACTTGTGAGAAAACTTTATTTAATTGTGGGAATTGGGAGAAAACCATTATGTTTGAACCTAGCCAGGCGTGGCTGGGAAACTATTCCAAACCTACCTGCTGGTTAGAGACCCTTAACTACGGGCCTAGGTTATGCAGTCATATCCAAAGTTCTATGCAAAGAGTCTTCTCAAAATTTTACATTTCAAGCAACCTATATATCTTATCTGAAAACAGGCCCCATACTAATCAATCAGTCATCGTTTCCATGTTCCTTTGATTGTTTACTGACACTTTGAGGAATGGGACCCCTCCTTTTTTGATTTCAGGGAGTTGCACCTGTTCACATTCCCCTTCCTAATTGGAAAGTCCATAACCTTTCATCCAATTAGAAATTAGATTACCTAACGTTGTATTGTTTCTTTCTTTTTTTTTTTTTTTTGTTTGCCCTGGTTCACACAGCTATTAAGTGTTACGTGTCTGAGGCTGGATTTGAACTCAGCTCCTTCTGAATCTAGGGCCGGTGCTCTATCCACTGCACCACCTAGCTGCCCCGTATTGTTTCCTTTTAATTAATTGGTCTTATTTGATGGTTTTTAATGTATAAAAATTTGTCTCTCTCTGTATTTGGGGTCCAGCCCTAAGCTGAGGAAGGGGCCTGGTCCCAATCTGTTGGGCTTAATCAATCACCGTAACGCTTGGAAGCTCAAACCTGTGTTTCCCCGGTCATTTAGTCTTTCGCAGCCATGGGATGTGTACTTCTTGCCTTCCCATTAGCTACCTGTGAGTAGGGCTCATTTCATTCTCCATACCTGCATCCCCAGAACTTCGGCGGTACAATGCCTGGGCATTTTGTCAGTAGGCACTTAATAAATACTTATCGATTCAAATCAAGAGTAGATCGTGCCAATTGGTTTTACATGTAACGGGGGGGGGGGGATATTATTTAAAAAAAGGAACAGGTCATGCCCTATGTTCTATGGACTAGACTGGAGGATCAGGGCCGTGGGATTCCAGCTTTGGAGTTAGAAGGGCTTCAGGGGCCTCATCATCCTCGGGACCAATCTATCTCTGGCCACATGCCATTTCGTACTTTTACCAATGGCTTGGAAAATGTGGAAATGGCATCTCTGTTAAATTTGCTGATGACATCGAGCCAAGACAGATAGCAAACACACTGGGATGAAAGAACGAAGACTCACAAAGATTTTGGCAGGCTAGAATATCTTGCTAAGTTTAACGCAAGGGGATTTAATAGCCTCGAGTTCAAATTATCAAGTTACTAAGTCCAAGATGGGGGAGGCGGAGTTCACATAAACAACGACTGTGACCGATATTCTGGGCTTTCCAGAGGGCTGTAAGCTCTGCCTTTGGCAACCATGTGAGTTAGCATTCGAGAACGCTACTGTGATTTTGAGCTGTACGCTAGGAGGCTGAATGCCTGTGATCGGCTCCTGTCTGGAAAAACATGCCCGATTCTGGGCATCACATTTTGGGAAATCCATTGATGAGTGCGACAGCACTCAGAGCCGGGTAACCCGGATGCTGACGGGCCTCAGGGTCTCATATATGAAAATCAGCTAGAGAAGACTGGGGTGACTTAGAGGGCACATGACAGCCATGCCCAAAGATGTGTAGGACGGTCCCTTGGACGTTGGCCCCAAGGAGCAGCACCAGGAGCGGTGGGTGGGAGTAAGGAAAAGTTTCCTAAGCATCAGGGCTACCCCAGAGGGGAAGGAGCTGCCCCTGATGGCAGCGAGCACAGGGATCTCCTCCTTGGACTGCAGGACCCCTTGGAGTGAGGCTGCAGGGAGGATTCCCAGGCATGCACTGGCTGAATGAGACAGACCCTGAGTTCACATCCAACTCTTGAGGTTCTGTGATGTGGAGACAAAGGAAGAACAGCGAGGTACTGGGGGGTAGGAGTGAAGGAATCTGGCTGGAGTGGGATGGAGGGACCTCCAAGGAGGGGTCACTGACGCCTCCCATGGCGGCCTCCCCATTCTACTTATTGCTAACAAGTTTATCCTCCCCGTGACTGCTAGTGCTGCCTTTCTGGGCTAAACTGACCAAGGCTAACAGCTCTGGAGGCCTCCCTTCTCTTCTCCTGCTTAAACATGCCCAGTCCCCATGGCTGGCTTGGCATTCCCCCACCTGCTCCCCAGGAACATGGGCCAGAAGCTGGGCACACTCACCTTTATCTCCTTCCCATTCACCCAGCCCAAGGAGGCATAGTAGTGGGCATCAGTGAAATAGTGGCAGATGGTGGGCATTTTCTGGGGGTGGTAGGTCTCGGAGAACACAATCTCAGGGTGGTCACTCAGGGAAATCACGGCACCTGGATGTAACTGCTTTTGCTGGAGAAGAGGTGCTGGGTGAGTCCACTGTCCCTGTCTCCTCCTCCTCCCCACCCTCCTAACTCAAGGGGCTCCTCCAGAAAGCCTTCCCTCCCCCTCAGCTCCCTGTGGCTCAGGCTGGGCCTGGCTCCTGGGTCTGCTCCACATTTCCACTTCTATCATCATGGCTCTCCCCGTAGAAGACTGGAAGCTCCCTGAAGGCAGGCAGCTGGTTCCATCCATTTCCTTTTGTGCTCCAGGCTCCTCTCAGCCTTCCCTTACTGCCAACCCGCTGCCAAGTCATGACTCTTTCACATCAGCAGCATCTCCAAGAATCATGGGACTGAACATTGGAGGGCCTCATCCCCTAGTCCAGTCACCTTGTTTTTACAGATGGGGAAACTGAGGTCCACAGAGAAGTGGCTTGCCCACGTGGTAGCATGGGGCAGAGCCAGGATTTGAGCCCATGGCCTCTGACTCCAGATGCATCATTCTCACCAGCATCTCTCGTATCTGTCCCCTTCCCTCCATGACCACAGTGCACACCCTCCTCTGGACCATCAGGACTGCCTCCATCTGGGCTCCTTCCTTCAGCCTCCCTCCCTCCAATCCATACTGCCGGAGTCATCTCCCTCTCGCTCATCCCTCCCCTGCTCAAAGGGCTTCCATGGCTCCCTATGGCCTGCAAGACAAAGCCCAGCCTTACTGGCTCAGCACTCAAGGCCATCAGCAGCGCCGACACAACCCAAGTCCTGCCTCATCAGAGACGACTTTCATTAAGTACATGCAGTTCGGCCAGACGGACGGGGCAACTGAGGCCCAGAGAGAAGGGACTTCCCCATTCCTTCAAACATCCACGGTGCCCCCTCCCTGCCACTTTCAGGATGAACTGGACTGTGATCTCCCTGGTTTCCTTAAAAACAGCGGCTGTGGTGCAGGCCCCCAAGCCTGGCCCCTCCTGGGCCGTCCCCGAGCCTCAGTGGTCCCCTGGGTAAACCTGGTCCTCATGGGGTGGGGCCACCTTCCTGGCTGGACTCCCTCAGCCATGCCTGTGTCTGCACTGTTTTACCCCCAAGAAAATGGAAGTTCTGGGGGAGCGGGGCCTGTTTCTTTTGTCCTTGAGCCTCTAGCACTTGTCAGAGCACCTGGCACCTGGCACCTGGCACCTGGCAGGGGCTTAACAGATAGTGGGTGATGGAAAATATGTACCATTTCCAGATAAACAGACACCATCTAGATGTGTATAAGAATGATAAATACATAAAGTGACAAAGTCATCGGACAGGCCTTAGGAGGTAGCACTCAACTTGGGATGCCAAGAGGCCGAGGTGAAGGAGGGTGTTCCTGGCCTGGGGAACAGCCAAGGCAAAGGGGTGGAGTCAGGCGACCAAGCATTATGCGTGCGCCTGAGCATGAAGGCCTGTGTCCCTGGACTGCGGAGTGCCTAGAGGGCAGCCCAGTGTCACAAGCCTAGGACGGTAGGAAGCAGCGGCTTCCGAAGGCCTTGGAACACCGAGCAGAGCATTCTGTATTTGCTCCTGGAAATGATAGGGAGCCAGTGAAGGTCACTGAGGAGGGGATGGCCAGGGTGGAACGGTGCTTTAGGAAGGTCACTTTGGTGGCTGAATAGAGGATGGACTGGAGTGGTGAGAGCCGTGAGGCAGGCAGAACCCCCAGCAGCTACTACAGTGGTCCAGGGGCGAGGGGATGAGGGCCTGCACCAGGGTAGGGGCAGATCAGAGGAGAGAAGGGGGCGTGGTTGAGAGATGCTGCAGAGGGGAAATCACAGGCCTTGGCACCACCTTGGATCTGGGAGTGGGAGAGAGGGAGGAGCCTGAGGGACTGGAGGGTGGGTGAAATGAAACAGTCCCCAGAGCTTCCGTTTTCTCTGGGGTAAAACAGCACAGACACTGTGAAAGCTGAGGGCCTGGCCTTTCCCTGTTGGAGTCCAGCCAGGCATTCGGCCCCACGCTCTCGAGGATCAGGAGGGGCCAGGCTTAGGGGCCTCCACCACAGCTGTGGTTTTCAAGGATACCAAGGAGAAGGCAATCCCGCCAATCCTGGATGTCGGGGGTCAGGAGTTTGAAAGAATGGAGAAGTTCCTTCTGCTCCCAGGCCTGTTTCTTCCTCTATAAAATGGAGGGGTTCTGGGGCCCAGTGAAAATGCTGCCAGGTTTGGAGTCAGAGAGCCTGGCCTTGGATCCCAGTTCTGCTGTCTTTTCTGTGTGACTTTGGACAAGTTGCTGAGCCTCAGTTTCCTTCTCTGTAAAACGAGGGCCTCCCACGTCCCCTGTGACAATCCTCTGGTGGTCTGGGGACCAGGAGGTCACGTCCACGTCCCCGCCTGGTGCTATTATGGTGTTGTGGGACCCCCGAGCCCAATGAGGCCTTGCCTGACCCCCTTCCAGTGCCTGGCACCAGCCTCCTTTGCCCGCTCGGCATCCCTCAAGCTCTAAAACAATGTCGGCCTAGGTGACGGGCTTTGCTACTTCTCCCACTTGGGTGTACACTCCCTGAGGGCAGGGATGGTTTTCCTTTTTTGCCCAATGCACTGTCTCATCCTTTGACTCAGCACCTCCAGCACCTAAGGTCCAGGGCCTGGCAGGGACAGGGTCCTTCTGTGTGCTGAACTGAATAGATTCTGGTCTAATATCCCACCCCGGGCTCAGGAGTCCTCCAGACAGCCCAGATGCTCAGAACTGGAAGGGTTGCCCCCAGCGGCCATCTGGTGCAACCTGTCAGGAATCCCCATGTCCACACCCACTCCAAGGGGTCATCCTGACATCTGCAGCTGGGAAGCTCACTACCTCCAGCAGCAGTCCTTTCCACTTGGGGATAGTTTTGACTACTGGAATATACCTCCTTATATCCAGCCATAATCTGCCACCTCACCACCCCAGAAAAAAAGAAAATGCATTCACAGGATCCTGGATTTGGAGCTGGAAGGAACCTTGGGAACCTGCCTCATTTTAGGAAACCGAGGCCTGAGATGAAATGACTGCCAGGGTGGGAGGTGGGATCGGAACCCAGTGCCCCCCTTAACCCACGATGCCTCGTGCTCCCCTGCTGGTCCCTCGTCTGGCCTTCCCTTCCAGCATCTGAGGACAGTCACGTGAGCCTAGGCCCCAAGGCAAATCCCTTCTCCTCGGTAATGAATGAGGAGCCTGCTTTGTGGATCCCCGGGGGGGGGGGTGGGGGGCCCAGGCCTCGGAATGCAGTAGGTGCTTAATAAGTGCAGGATGAAAGGTTGCACATGGACCTAGTGACAATCTCTTACCATGCGTTTATTCAAGACATTGCTGATAAGGTTTTTCATATGTTTCCACTCGGGAACAAGCTTATTCTCAGCCATCCTCGTCCTTTCTAAGCGTCTCCTATCCAGAACCTGCAGGGGTCCAAGAACAGTCTCACACACACGGGCCTCAAGGGACTGGGAAGGCCTCAGACAGGAAAGGTCAGCCCTACGAGAGAACTTTGGCCTCATCAAGGCCAAACTCTTCATTCTGGAGCAAGGACAACTGAGGCCCAGAGAAGGGAGGATGCTGGGAGCCTGGCCTGGCAGCTGCCACGAGCCGCTGACCAGAGACAAGACTCCTCCAGATCACAGAAAGGGGCTGTTCCATACAGCTCCCTCATGTTAAAGGGCGCTGGGTCTGGGGCAGCTAGGCGGCACAGTGGATAGAGCACCAGCCCTGGAGTCAGGAGGACCTGAGTTCAAATCCGGCCTCAGACACTTACTAGCTGTGTGACCCTGGCCAAGTCACTTAACCCCGACTGCTTCCAATAAATACTTTCTTAAAAAGATCACTGGGTCCTGGATCCAGACCGAGCAGGAACCCGAGGCCGCCCCATCCAACCCTCTCGTTTGACAGTGAAAAGACTCAACACACCAGGAGTGACATGTGGGCTGTGAACCCAGGTCCTCTGCCCACAAATGCCCTGGCTGAAAGAGGGGTCCTCTCCGTAGCCCATCCTCCGGGGGACCCCCTCTCTTCCTGTTCCCTCCTCCAGGCCACTGAGGCCCAGTTCCTCGGCTGGCTCCTTCTGGGGCCTGGTCCCCAGTACCCCCCCCAGTCCTAACTGTCTCCCTGCAAACGTGGCTCTGGAATCCCTTCAAGCTAATGACTTGGTTGATCACCCTCTTCTCTTTAGCAACATATCATTGTTCCCATTTCACAGAGGAGACTTCCAGTGACTTGTCCAAGGTCACAGAGTACTGGAGGCTCCATGTCTTTTCATCTCACTCTCACTGCCTCCCCTCACGGCTCTTACTTCTGGGGTCCAGGAGGACAAGTCTACTGCTTCTCCCAGCGAGCCCAGGGACATCCACCTGGAGCCGGTGGGCAAGCAGTGACAGAAAGGGGGAGTTCCAGCGGCCCACAGGGGACCACACGCTCTCATCACGATTGTTTCTCTCTCCCGGTGCGGACGAAAGCCCCTCCACGTCTCAGGGGATGGTCCTGATTTGCCATTGCGGCTGAAAAAATCACTTGAAGTCAGCTGTCTCAAGTCTAGGGAACAGGCCCCTGTCTGTGACCCGCTGCTGGGTCCTAAGGAGTGAGCTCCCCGTCACTGGGGATGACACAGTAGAGGACATTCCCCCTTCCAGCAAGGGCTGCAGGAGGCAACCTCTGAGGACAGAAGGCAGGTCCCCAGGGAGAAGCCGGCCGGCCCTCACACACAGAGCCAGGGCCTGCCTCCTCGGCCTCCAAGGCCTTACTCACCAGTGGCTCTCCCCACTCCGTGGGGCCTGACTGCCTCTGGAGTGCCCAAAGCTCAGCTGGCTGGATGCTGCCGCTGGTCTGTCCAAATTCCACAGCAGTAATCCCTAGCAGAAGGGACGAAAGAGGAAGGGCACCTGGGGAGAGGCCCTGGGACCGACACTAGAGGTCTGGCCATGGTTCTGAGCCCCACGTGGTGTGGAGGGTGTCAGGATGCAGGCCCACACCCCAGAACCCCTACCGAGGGTCCCCTCTCCCACTTCTCACTGGCTCAGGCGGCCGCCAGGACCTCCTGGTCAAACACCCAGGGCTCCTTAGCTCTTGTCCAGGCCTGGCCTCCCGCCCCTCCGCCCACCCACCGAGCTGGCTGCCTGGACACAGCGGGTACCCCTCCTCGGTCCCCTTCGCGGGGTCCCCCTCCCACGGTGGCGCCCCTCGGGGCTCTTCTCCAGGCCTGACCTCACCCGGGGACCTCCTCAGCTCCCACGGGCCAATCCCGGCTCTCCAGCCGCCTTTCGGACAACCACCCCGGACGTCCAGTGGACATCTCCCAGAGCCGGACACGGTGCCTCTTCCCCGGGTGCGGGGTGGCCTGGATTCGGTCAGAGGGCTGCACTCGAGGCCCTGGGGGGCCACGCGGGATCCCCGCCCGCAGCCCTCCATCCCCCTTCTCTCAGTCGCGTGACCCCACTTGGGGTTTTCAGGGCAGAGACCCTGGAGGGGTTTGCCGTGTCATTCTCCAGCTCATTTTACAGATGAGGAAACTGAGGCAAAGTGGGTGAAGGGCCTCGCCCAGGATCGCACAGCTGGTGAGTGTCTGGGGCCAGACTGAACCCGGGGGGGAGCCCTGCGACTTCGGGCCGGGGCTCCAGGCACTGCTCTAACTGGGGCCCCGCCCCCAGGCTCCCACGTGGGAGCCCCCCCATAGGGGCCGGGGCTGCGGGGCTGCACCCCTCCTGTCCCCTGCCCCCACCCCGGTGAAGCCCCTCGCGCCTGCACTCCCGCAGGAGTTGGGGGGGTCTGCCTGCCTCCCTGCAGCGGCCCCCCACCACCTCTGGGATCCGATGCAGAGCGCTGGCTTGGACATTCAAGGCTCTTTGTCCCCCAGCCCTCCCCTGCCCCCCCCACCCCGGGTCTCCTTTAAGTCCGGCTAAGCCCCCCTGGCCGGGAAGCCCTTCCCGATGGCCCTGAACGCCGGGGCTGTTCGCAGACTGGCAGGGCCGGCGTGGACCTTCCCTTGGGTGTATTGACTGACTGTCTGACCGAGGCCGTCCTCCCCGACACTCCACAACCCCCGGGGGGGAGGGGAGGGGAGGGGAGGGGAAGGAGGACGACCCCGCCCACAAACAGGGGGAGGGGGCGGCGGCGGACTCAGGCCCGCGTCGTCCGCCCGGCCTCCTCCTCCTCGGCCAATGGCAGGCTCGGACCGGGATCTCTAAGCACGGGCGGGGGAGGGGCAGGGCCACGAGCGGCCCCGCCTTGGCCCTGACGGCCAGGGTGCAGCGGGGAGGGGCGGCTGGGGGCGGGCCTGGCCTCTGAGGCGGTTAGGGCGCCGTTACCTGCGGACACTAGCTTCGGAAAAGGGCGAGGGGAGGGGGCTGCGCGCGGAGGCGCCTCATTCTAATTCGGCGCCGCGCGCCTATGGAGGCGCCTGGCCCTTTAAGGGGGGTGGGTGGGGGAACGCAGGCGGGGGGAGAGCGGGGTGGGGCTTCTCTGGGGAAACGGACTGCGGGAGCGGGACGCTCAGGGACGTCCCAGCACTGAGCGCGCGTCCCCCTCCCCCCACACGCACGCGCACTCTCCTCCTTCGGATTGCCCCT